AAACCGCCAGCTGTCGGAGCGTCGCTTCCCGCCTTTTGGGAAGCATTGAGGGCTTCAGAAATACTTTCGGGAGCATCCTCTACTGCAGTTACAGGGTGATCGGCCCGTGAGATGCCTGTAGCAACTGTGCTATGCAGTCCCATCACAATTAAAAAAATCTTACCCTCTAGAACCACCTCTGAGATGTTGCCTGTCCACAGGAAGTCCGAAGGGGATGGTTATGGAACAAGACTCCTCATAAACTCCTGTGGGTGTCTAACTTATGTCATTAAGTGGTTTGACAGCCTCGCGTGAAGGGTTGAAAGTTTGTGCAGTTAGAGGCAGCCTTAGGCGAGGCTGACATGAAAACAGTAATGATCAGCTGAGGTTGCAGAGCAGGTAAACGGCAGAGCAACTTCTACCTCTTGTTCCAGTCAGTGCCCTCCATGTCCCCTTCAGTCATGTTCCTGTTTTGGTTAACTGGTGACTGTAACTGCGTGTTCGTCTGCGTGTGGTTGAATGCTTATTTTTCTTCAAAAGTAGACTTCAGCTTTTAAAACTAAGGGGTTTTTTCTCTTTCTAGAGAAGCCGTTTTGATCAAATTCATCATGGTCTCCAGGGAATTTGTGCAGTGTCACAAAGGACCTATGCTGATCAAGGTAACTAATTGTGAAGAATTTCTTTGGACAAAAAAAACAACCCAAAAAACCCTCAAAAACCAAAGCAGTGCTTCAAACTCAGAAATCAGTCTTCCAAGTGACGGGGGAATCCATGTCAGCATGGAGATTTAGATGAAAAATAGTGGCTTATTTGTCCTATTTGATATCAAGCTAAAGCTATAAATAGAAGTTGAACTTTATATAACATAAGAGGAGTGATGGTAATTAATATTCCAAAGGAGGTTGTGGTTATGAGATATGAATTAGGTGCAGAGTTCATAGCTTCTGCTGTGTTCGTAATTGATAGAGGTTGCACAGATATCTATTTCAGCCATATTTTCTCCTTTATAAACTACTGATTTTATGGCATTCAGTAAGCTTTTATCTTTTGCACTAAACATCAATAGAAGCTACGTGGGAAAAATGTTACAGTAAACTATCCAGACATCTTGGGTTAAGTTCTTAAAGGATTTATAGCAGGATGGATGGGTCAGACAGAATTCAGTTGCCTCACTTCATTTTTACGTTATTTTCCCTGTAAAATTTAAGACTGGTTGTTTTTATTGCAGAGTGAATACCTCCACACAACCATTCCTTTTGTCCAGAAAGTTACTCTCAGATGTGAGGTGTAACTTACTTATCTAAACCCAGTTTATTAAGTTGCATAATTTTTAATAGCCATTTTGCTTTTAAAAAAAAATATATTTTGAAACATGAATTATTTCAGAAATGATAAACTGGTATTCCTGCAGTGAAATGTTAATTGCTGAAACAAAAATAACTCAGATGTTCTCTGTTTCAGTTGATGCCGATGTCACAGTTATTGGCTCTGGTCCTGGAGGGTATGTTGCTGCTATCAAAGCAGCTCAGCTTGGATTTAAGGTAAGATGAGACCTCACTCAGATAGCAGAATATTCATCCAGATGAACTTGGAAGTTGTTTGCGTGATACTGAAAAACTGAAATTCTTCTGTCACATCTTGGGCCACCAGATGCTGTTGACATGTCGGTAATCTTTCTTTACCTTGCTTACCCAGATTATACAGAAGTTGAAATTGAGATGTGAAGGTATTACTGTCTATAGCACTGCTAGGCTACTGACAGAGCTGCTCAGGACAGCTTGCTTTTCATTGGAGGTGATAACTGAGATGGGCTTATACTCCTGTGAAGAGAAGGTGGGAAAAGAATGCTAGGAAGGAATTTTTCTCCGAAGAGGGGGGGGGGGGGGGTGGGGAATTGTGGCAGTGACAAAAAGGCCACTGAAAAACTGGCCTGAAGAACAGACTGAGGGAACTCAAAAGAGGAAAAAATAATATTCGACTGATGTGGTTTTTGAATGTGAGTAGAGGAATTTGATTGCCATGTGAGAATTTTAGAGGTGGAAATATCTGTAGAAATACTGTAGTATCTAATTTACATTTATTTATGTTCATCTTTGTTGTTCTGTCTGTTGTCTTTGAATGCCTTTTGAAGAGGTAACTTTTATCTGATGTGTGCTAATGACGTGTCATTTAATTGAGTATCGTGAGAGTTACATGTGCATAATGCATTTCAGACTTTCTAAACTTAAGAAAATACAGAGTGTGACTTCAGCAGGTTATTTTTTTACCTTCACTCCTTAATATGAGACCAACTTACTCCCTTGGCACTGCAGCATTCTTCTCTGAATTATTTTGAAATCTGAGAAGGCAGTGCTGGCAGTCTTGAGCGTGTTCCTGCTGGCTGATATGTCCCAATGCTTCTGAATTATGGCATCTGGACTTCATGACAAAAATGAGTTGATTAGACCACCTGGTAAGGACAGGAGCTCCTGTTGATGAACGGAGTTCCAGTGAAACACTGGAATGGGAGCCCAGATAGTGTGTGGTCTTCACCCTTGGATATTTTCAGAACTTGGCTGTACAAGGCCCTAAGCCACCTGATACATCTTTGATGTTGACTGTGTTTGGTGCAGAAGGTTTGAGTAGATGGCCTCCAGAAGAGGTCCCTTCAACCTAAACTTTTCTGTAATTCTGAGTGTTGTCCCTCATTGCTCATTATTCCCACAGCTGGGTTTCAGTGATGTCTCTTTGGGTATCTTTCAGCCTTCTAATGTGTAACTGTACCAAAATATAAATGAGATTCCATTAAGAAGTTTTACATCTGCCTGTGACCTAGTGCAGATAATTGAGTTGTCTTTATAAATACTCTTGCTTTTAGATGTATGTTGTTACTGAGCTATTAGTACCTGAGAAAAAAAAGTGCTCAGTGCTACAGGTTTTAATTGAGATTGAGGCCTTCTGCCATGTAAGTTCATGTTTGTTTATTCTAGAGCTATTTTTTGTGGCTATATGCCCGCTTTTCTTGGAGCAACACTGTCCTCAGGTCCTTCGTATCTGTGATTAACAATAGGATACCATATACAAAGAGGTTAAAGTGCCCTGGATCGTGTTTTTCATCATGGCAAAAAATAATTTTGTTATACTGCTTTACAGCTAGTGGGAGTGGGCAAAATATTTGGACATGTTTGCATGTGTCACCTGTAGCACTGAATAAACATGAAGAATGTTTATGCTGTCCTTGAGGAATGTAAGGAGATGTTTTTGTGAGATGGGCAAAAAGATAGATCCTATAGTGACACCATTCATGGAAGAACCTGAGTGTGCTCTACTGAACTACTGAACTTTAACCTTCAATTTTAGTGCTACGTGTGCTAGCACAAGTGTTAAGTCCTTGTATTACCACCACAGCATCTCATGTTATTGTCAACCGTGTTCTCTGGGCATTGGCTTTTCAACAGCTTTGCTTGGCCTTGTCGGTGAAGTTGATGTAAAGTGGATGAGGCAGAACCTCCTTATGAGGTAAAGGTAGGAGCAGTCTCGTGCTGTTTGATCCGTAGTGCAGCTTTTAAAGCCCTTGGATCATTTTTCGTGTGTTCATGTGCTTAAAACAGGAGGAAGGGTAGATAGGGGATCAGCATGTCTCTGTGTTTCTGCGATTTGATATGGTAAATCCTGCTCTTCATGTTACCATCACCTCTACTTTAGCACAAAAGCAGCAATTCAAAAGAAATGATGAAAGGCTTTCCCCTGGGTAGTCACTTGATCAGCAGATTGGAGCTCTTAGAGTATAAACCAAGGAACTATTATTTTGAACACGTGTGCACCTTGCGAAGAAGGAGATTCCAATTCTTTTGCTTCTATGAAAAAGGTTTACGGTACTCTCTTCCCCTCCAAGTGATCTGTTTTTACCTAAACAAGTTTACCCGAAGTTTTGTCAGTTGTTGTTTTTCCTTTGCACACTTTGATGTTGGCAAGTTGATGAGAAGGAGATGAAATATTTTCCATCCCTGTTGGTATTGACCTTATTTTTGTTTGGCTCTGCTTTACTTGATTTTTATTCTTTCTTTCTTTATACATATTGGCACAACTTTATAGCAATGGGTCTTGCAGGATAGTGTGTTTAGAGAGGAAAATGTTGTTTGTAGTTTGGGGGTTTTGTTTTGTTTTCTTTAAAGAAAAAATTACTTCATGAAATTTTAACGTCTGTTGGTTCATTTGTCTTGTTTGCTTGTGATTACTTGTTTTTAGGAATCTTTTGCATGACTTACATTTTTTGCTTTTTGCAGGGTGGTTGTTTTTTTTAATTGTAAGGGCAACATCTTTCACAGAATTGTTGTATTTAATTGAGGCAACTTTGTGGATTTTTGAAGCAGAACAACAGCACTTAAACTTGTATGAAAGTATAAATGGTGCAGTGGGGAATGTGGCTCTCCTGGTAGAGAACTTAGTTGCAAAGAGCCATTTTGTGTTTTTTAAATTAGGAAAAAAAATGAGGGAGGGGAAATCTGGGCCACAAAAATCTAGGAATGAAATTAATGAGACACTTGTAGAGGAAGAGTTATTAGGTAAATGCCTGGTCTTCGTCATCAATTCTAATTTGTCAGATACCCTGTAAGGAAATGGTGGCATAGTATTGCTAAAAAGTTCTTTTTTCCTCTGCTTCTTCCTCAGACTGTCTGTGTAGAAAAAAATGAAACCTTAGGTGGAACGTGTTTGAATGTGGGATGTATTCCGTCCAAGGTAAGTGTACGTAGTTTGTCATAACTTCATTAAAAACAACAGATACTATATGTATCACTTGAGAAACTCCTCAATCTTTTTCCAAGATTGACGTGCTTTCTTTAAAAATTGGAATTGCAATCTAGATAAGCTGAGGATCCAAATAAATAACACAAAGGGTTAAAATTTTATTTGCTGAACGGCAGTGTTTTGTTTGCAAACTGTTTTTTGGGCTTTCCCAAAAGAAAGAGGAAGAGAATGAAAACCAGAGGTGCATACAGATGTATCTTCTCACTCTGATGAGCTGTTCAGTCTGTGTTGTAACCAGTAACTGACTACAGTGTTGACTGTTTCAGATGGTTGTACCTCTTGTAGTCTGAGGTACAGATCGCCTCATATCGGTTTGTTCAAAATAAACCTTTGGTTTTGTCCAAGATGATGTTCCTACGTTAAAGGAATGCTGGACTGTGTCACTAGGGGTAGAGAAAGTAAATCTAAATTAGAGGGAAAGGGGCACCCCTGAAAAATCATGAACTCTGGTTTTGGTTGGATGCACCGTGCTCTGAAGATAGCTGTCTCTCTCCATTGACTGTGGAAAAAGCCTAGTTGATTAGCTCTTGGAATACTAGTCTAAGCTCAAATTGTATTCTTGCCAGCCCCAAAAGATGGCCTCGAGAGTGGGGCTGGTAGGCTTTGTGTGGAGTAGTGCAGGTGGGGAGGGAAAAGGGGGAGTACAAGGCATGCACTCTGAAAGAAAGGAGAAAGAAGAAGTTTGGAAGAACCTAGTATTTGATGTTGTGAGTCCAGTTTTAAGTAATTTCAGAACTAGGGCCTTGTAAGAACAGTGCTATTGCTAGATAGACTAGATTAGACTAATAAGGCAGACTCATTAGCACCCAGCAGGTAAAGGAAGACACTGGTAATGCCAGGTATGTAACAGCTATAGTAACAGACATAATTTTCTTAACAAGACTCCTCCTAACTATATTGCTATTTCTAATCTGTTTGCTCAGAGAGGTTCCATTAGCATGGTAGGAGAAAATAGAGTATAAATACAAAGTTTTTTTAGTTACATATTAATTTTCCTAAACATTTTACTAATAGTTCTGATGAAGTTCAGAATATCTTAATATACTGAGGAAAAACTAAAAAATGAGGTGTAGATTAACACAGTGTTACTTTGAAAGTTTGGAACTCTGCTAGGATCTATTTAGCTTTTCTTGTCAGGTCTTTTTATTACCCTTTGAAGTTCTTAAAAAAAACAAAAACAAAAACAAACCAAAACCAAACAGAAAACCCCACCTTCTGAACCCATGGCTAAACTCAGATGCTATCCAGAATTTTTTTTGAGTGGCAATAAATTTCTTACAAAGTGGAATAGGATACATAGGCTGCATACACTGAGGCAATAACAAACTATTTGAAAATTCCTTTCCAAAAAGACACCCAAAATAATACACTGGGCATGGAATTTTTTTCTCTTTTAATTGCTGAAGTCTTAGGTGGTGGCTGTGTTTTAAATAATGTTGGATGTTAAGAATTCAGGGTTGTGACAGTTATGTGAAATGGGCAAATGACTTTTAAAGAGAGTTGATAAGACTTATTAATAAAAATGGAATTATCTTATTCTGACAGTATTAGTTTTACTCAAGCGTGTATATATACGGCAGGTATCTCAAAATGTGCTTTGACTGTTTTACTGTGTCTACTTTCAGTCTGCGCAGACTTGAGCTGTTGTCCTTGAAAAGATACTGATAATATCATGTTTGGGATGGCTATAGTGAAAGACATAATTTTTCTTACCAAGATTCCTCCCTAACTATATTGCTATTTCTAATCAAAATACAGTTCTAGAGGTTTTGCATTTCAAGCTTATGATTTATAAACATTATTATAAAAATTATTCTTTTATTTTGAATTCTGAATGTGCAGTGACGTGAGCAAGCTCTAAGCCATCTAGCTTCAGCTCAACTAGCTATGCAGTTGTAGTAACTTTAGCACAACCCCTCAACTACAAAATTTAACTTACATACGTCTACACGGGCTAAAATTTTAACAGGGAATTCAGGATAGATTTTCCTCATCCAGTTTTTCTGTATCCTCTTTTTGTTGACAAGTAATCTCTTGTCTGAGGTAATAAGGAAATTCTGCTGTGAGTCAGTCAGAATCATCTTTCTTTCCTCTACTTAGTCTGTTCCTATTTTTTTTAATCCTCATGGAGTCATTCCCAATTTTTCTGGTGAAATGAGCAAAAAAGATAGGTGTGAATTTAACTGTTTTCTATTTTTATGTTAAATATGTAACTTTGTAAAACACTTCAGTAAGAGCTACTGTGTACCATTTCTGTGTTTGAAATACACCTTTTTAAATACGTACGTCAGACTTTTTCTTAGTAGTGAGAATGTTTTGCAAATAACATCAGATTTTTTTTTTCCTGATAATAATTCAATCGCGAATGTATGTCCCAGTTCACATTTCTGTGTGTGTATTTTAGGCCTTGCTGAACAACTCACATCTGTATCACTTGGCCCATGGAAAAGATTTCGCTAATAGAGGAATTGAAAGTGAGTGTGAAGAGCAACTTGTCAGTGCCTGTTAACATAAATGGTTTCCATCAACAAGCAAATTTAATTATTCAGATCTGACTACTATAGTTTTCTGGTCAGAAAACTTTTTAGACTTATAAATAATACCCTTTATCTGTCAGTTGGAGGGTTACGGATGCGTCTGCTCCTTGAACACTGAATCCTGGATAGATAAGTTATATTTGAGAAGTGTAATACTGCTTTTTAACATAGCAGTTGTTGAACGTAACCTTTAGTAGGGCCATTCAACACATCTTACTGCACCAGAGCTGTTAATGGTGTTTAGGTTAGCTCCTTTAAAAAAACACTGCAGTGCTTGATAGAAGGTTTTTTTTCACCTTAGTTACAGGAATCCATTTGAATCTAGAGAAGATGATGGAACAGAAGAGTGGTGCAGTGAAGGCCTTAACAGGTGGAATTGCTCATTTATTTAAACAAAACAAGGTTAGTTTGGATTATATACTGAGGTATATCCTTGATTTTTTTCTGATCTGAATTTCTTGCTTTTTACATTTGCATATTCTTGCCATATAAATTAATTCAAGTGACTGACTCGGCAAGGGCAGAATTTGCATGCTTCTCTTCTTGGAAATTTTTAAATGAACAGTTCCTTCATTCTTAATCTACTTAAAAGGCTAGTATACAATTACTTTGTTATTTGTACTAGATGGTGATGCAAAGGTATGTGTTAGCAGCTTCTCTAAAGCACTAGTGAGATTCAGATTAAATGTAGCATAACTTACGTAAGTAATTTGAATCTGAATTTACTGTGTTCTGATTGCTAAAGGTTGTGCATGTATCTGGGTTTGGAAAAATAACTGGCAAAAACCAAGTCACTGCAACCAAAGAAGACGGCAGCACACAAGTTATCAATACAAAGAACGTACTTATAGCCACAGGCTCAGAAGTTGCTCCCTTCCCTGGAATTACTGTATGTATTTGAAATCTTAATGGTACTTTTTTTCAGTGTTATATCCACGTAATTTAATGTGTAATAATTTTTTGCATCTGATTGCACTTCACCTTCTGTGAAGTACTTTATACATAATGTATAAAAGAGACTGTAAACCTCCCTTTGTGGATTTCATTGTCATTAGATTGATGAAGATAATATCGTGTCATCCACTGGTGCGCTGTCACTGAAAAAAGTTCCTGAAAAGATGGTTGTCATTGGTGCAGGAGTCATTGGTGTGGAACTGGTGAGAGGATATTTAAACCACTTGGTCTTTAATTTATAAAGCAACATGGTGTTATTTTTTGTGTTACATTTGATTGTGTTGCTGTGATTTGACAGATGTTTGGTTGAGTGAGTTGTAATGAAACTGTTCAGACTTCATAGTCTGCTAGCTCCCTTTTCTACCAGAAAAGCTGGGATAAATGTTTGTAGGATCAGTACTCCTGCAGCTGGTTAGCTAAGCAGAGAAATGAGAGAGGAACATACAGGGCCTCACATACAGGTTTTTTTTGGGGGGGGTGGGAGGGGGGTG